AGGCCTAGAGCTGTATTACCTCCTCAAGGCACTTGGTGTAGACCTCCGTATTGAGACTGAGGCCCTAATGAATGGGGGCATCAAGTCGCCATCACTAGTGATCCCTCTAAACATCATTATGTCGACTGGATATATCAACCAACTCTTTGCGAATTCTTTGCATTGTCCTAAGATTCACGCCCAAACACTCTGAAATATTCGTTTTGGAGCTTGCAGTGTGAATGCCAAACAGTACAGCATACTGTTTCCAAATTTCTGGCGGAGTAAATTGCATCATGGTACTCTTTTTCTCACAGATGGCGCCCAACAGAGTCTATTATCCTATGAAGTCGACATAATCAAAACAAACCACGCGCATGCGCGAAATTAAAAATATAAAATGGCAACAATTTACCAATCGCACCCTGTATTTAGTGGCCATACATTTTTAAGAAGACAACGGATTTTTTTTTAACTGTACTTTTCGATATCGAAAGCAGAGGCTAACAGACAGATTTACACTGCTGAAGAATCGTGATGACAACTCAAATACCTGCATCCACAACATGCAAAGAATAATATATTTTATTATAGATACTTACATCTTACACGTCAGTTTATGACGTGTAAGATGTAAGTATCTATAATAAAATATATTATTCTTTAAATCGCCAGTGATGACGGGTATTTCATATGATGAAGAAAGATGGTTTATAGTAGGATAAAAAATAAACAGAAAAAAAAAAAATTCACTGTTTCAATTTCCAATTTTCCCTCATTGTAAATATTTATTTCATTGCGAGACAATGACACAGACGATTATGTTTATTGCTGAATTATCCATTTAAATATTGTTTCTATATTTCCCAGTTCTTCTCACAAGTTAAATAAGCTTGACATATCGTTACATTCTCATATTTTATATGAATCCAACACATTTATGAATTTGAACAAAGATTTTTAAGTCTTTCGATTCTGTGTAATTGACACAATAAAATCTGTTATTTTTCTGAAAAGCTTTTTTTTTCTCATTCTGATTTATATGGGACAGGAAAAATAAGGCGTCTCTTTCTTAATGAGACGACTTTATCAATTAAAAACAAATATATTTTTTTATCTATTTCTGCATAGCTCACTTTCTTCATGGTTTCTGACGCCAGCTTTTCGAATACTGCTTTTCAAGGCAGTTACGTTTTTTACTCAGAAAATTGAAAAGAAATATATGCTAAATCCTCAATATTCTATTTGTCTATCGTTACATGGATATTGATTTCGTAAAATGTCAACTGACTTATAAGCTTTATCAGCGTGAGTAGAGTTGAGTAAACCTTCTTATAGAAGACACTAGTGGCTTTGTTGCGGACGAAATAACAACTGTGGTTTAGTACTACGTGGACGGAGGAGGGAGAATAGGCAAATTTGATGATGGATATGGGAGTTAAAAGAGAGTCAAAATGAAAGAATTCAAATTTTCTGTAAGAAATAAACGTACTTCAGGGTAATCTGTCGTCATTTTTTAAATTAATTTCCCAACTTTTTCACAAATACAAATATGTAAAAATATACTGCCCAAAAGATTCATTTAGCAGTCTGAAAGAAAAAGAAAAAAAAAAAAACAATTACCGTATTTTTCGGCATATAAGACGCTGCGGCTTGGAAGATGCACCCTATTATTGGAAATTTCTAAGAAAAATAAAGTCATTCTCATGCAACAACACATTTACCATGCGTCCCTCAAATACCGGCGCCACGTATTGTTTACATTGATCCCTCCTCCGATTTTGTTTGTATAGCAATGACATACTAGTCAAGAGCAGAAAGGCTTCCGCCGCTGCTCGTAAACAGAGCATGTTTAAGGACGTGGCACGGCTCCAGGAAGGTTTATAGTCTTGGAAATACTTGTAACAGCTAAAAAGCTGAATTAGATAGATAGCTAACATTATAGTGTAATGACACAAAATACAAATCCACGTTCCTATTAGTCAAGCTTATTTGAGCCTGAGCGCTGCCTTACATTCGTATTGGAAGACGCGGACATATTTTTCAAGGAATTTTTAAGAAAAAAAAAGTGTGTCTTGTAAGTTAGTTAATACGGTAGTTAAAAAAAAAAACAATTAAAAACATTTTAAATATCACTTCTAACTTTAGATCACCAAATACTTAAAGACAGATAACCAAAAGAAACTCATTTTAAAAAGTGGCGACAAATAACCCACAAGTATTGAAATAAATTTATACAGGAAAATTAAACAAGATAATTAAATGGGGAAAATACTTTGAAGTTTTGGATGTTTGTAAAATCTTTGTAAAAAAAAAAATGAGTAACTGAACATTCTTATAACAATTTCTTTTTATAGAGTGAGTTTTATAAAAGTCTTTAAATGAGGGTGAATGTGAAAAATGTTTTACTTGTAGGTAGATTGTTGCGAGTGACTAGTCTCGGAGAAGAAATTTCTTGTGACCGGGTTCAATATGCTGAAATGAAGAATCCTGTGTATAGAGAGTGATGGTCGTTTCGGGATGTTTGGATCAAATGAAGAAAATTCTTTTGTCGCCTCTAATTATTGTATCAAATAGGCTCACAAGAACTTTTTTTTTATTGATAAAAAATGGTCTTTTGATTAGTTCTTTGTTGGATTTTGTTTTCTTAGTTTAAATTTATTTTTTATCTCTAAATTTTGTGTGGCTGAAGCTCTTCTAGGTTTTGTATGCTAATATAATTTTAGATTTCGCCAAAACGTCTGCTTCTGAGAATAATGAAGTTTGGAAGAACGACACGTGTTATAACTGTTACGTCTGTAGTACATATGATTTGCTTTCAACCTTAGTGGATTATCGGATTATGATCGTGATGCCTCTTGTTTGATTATAAACTGAATTTTGTTTGTGACTAAATATAATACTTCCTGATTTTATCAACTAAAATGGAAGAACTTTATTAAAATTGCTGGTGGAAAGGGAGAATATTTTACTTATTCACCTAAAATTCATAGGAACGTATAAAAATAACTACTGAAATGAAACCCGTTCAAACGAAAAAAAGACAATAAAGGATTATCTCCCTTTCTTGCAATAGTTTTTTTTTTTTAAATACGCAACTCATTTATAGTGATTTTCCAGGCGTAGCTTAGATGTAGCACAAGGCTGAAAGTATGGGGTACCCGGTGAGGATCGAACTCACTACTCAGTTGCACTTGTCCTACACAACTCATTTATAAGCGACTGAGCTCAAATTTGAGTAAATTTGAAGCAGTTCCACTCTTGACGTCAATGTGGTCAAAGCAGTTCAAAAACATAAAAAATTAAATTAATCAAAAAGAGAGTTTAAATGTTATTTTATGCCCTATTTTATAAGTCTAGCAATTCTACTAGTTTAATTAAATTGCAACGAAGGTACCATATCATAGAAAGGTAGCAGGATAAATTAAGTTTTAATGACTCCTGATTCTATATTTTATCTTATTCTCTTATAATATGGCCATTTTTAAATATATCTACCAACTGTAAACATTTTTGTTTTGATTTTAAATGCACATATTTGTTTAGGCTTTGCACTAGTTCTTACTTTCTGTAATTAAACCTAGATACATTTTTATAGTGCTTATTTCCTGCAATGAGACCAATATAATTTTTCATCATATAAATCTTACATAAGAGTCTTAGTAGCTAAAGTGTCTGAAAAAAAAACCAAAATAACAAAACAAAAGGAAAATGAATTTTTTTTATTTATTTCCGAAAATTAAAGGTAGCAATAATCTTAGACAAATTATACAGTTCAGCTCAATAACAATGACAACATGATAAATTTTGTCATCTGTTTAGTTCTTAGTTTCATTAAAAATTGGGATCGATGAAGCTCCCCGCCAGTATCCATTATAGCACCTCGAATGAATTGTGATGTCTTTCTTCTGTGTTTATTAAAAGATAAAGTATTCATTATTCCACAAAGAAATTAGCCAACTCGGGTATTGGTCGAAAACCTGGTGTCTTTATAAAAGACATCTTATATGCAATTTCAGCTTTAAAACGTGTACAGATCAGCCTATTGTTTGTTTAACGATGGATTAGAAGTTAAATTATAATCTGTTAAATTATAATCTGTTAAATCATAATCTGTTAAATCATGGAGACATGACCATTTGCAGCCGATCATAAAATGGAGTGTTATGTGCTAAACCGGTATGAGGAACTGAACTTGTTAATCAGGCAGAGATGCCTATCGTCCGGTTCATACTACTCCCGAGTGTTCTGAACAAGAGCAGAGGTTTATCTCTTGTTTCCTGTTTAGGATTGAGTTTTCGGTTCCTTCTAAAGTCTTTTCACTCACTTTCACTCAAAGTAGACCCCTGCATCTTAGTGGCATTATCCTCTTGCCTGGGGTGAATAGATTAAAAAAAACAAAAAAACAATCGAAATCAGTTTAATCACTATGATCATGGGAATATATAAAATTCTGGCATCTCGTCTACAGTCGCTCTCTCACAGACGCGCCGTCGCCTCTCTCTGTCTTTTTTTACAAATACTTTCATGGTAATTGCTCCGAGAAGCTGCATTAACTGCTTCCCAGACTTCATGAATTCAAGCGCCCTACGAGGCTGGCATCCCGCTCTCACCCTTTCACTGTCAAAACTCCTAAATGTAGCCGCCTCTTCTACTCTAATAGCTTCATATCTCGCACCTCTCGCCTGTGGAACTCCCTTCCCTATTCCAGTTTCCCTGAGAGCTATAATCTCCAACTATTCAAATGTAATGTCAATCGAAATCTCCAGTTGTCTTGATCTATCCACTATCCTTCTCCTCATCCTTTCTTCTATCACTCCTATCTGATCTTGCTCCAAATCTTCTATAACTCCTTGCGTCCTAGTGGCTTCTCGCCTCGCTTGGGGTAAAACGTTTAAAAAAAAAAAGAATTAAGTATATTTCGTTCAGATTGAACAGAATATATCTTAACGCCTACCTTAAATGTTTATCATGATACTGTTTTGAGTATGATGGTATTTTTACCGTTTCTATGGCTACAGATTCCGTCAAAATTTGAAACTGGTGCGCTGATTTTACTTTCCGCATACACGTATATACCCACCATTTGTCTCTCTTCTCCTCTCTCTCTGTCCGTTCAACCGACCGCCCATCTCCTCTTCCTCTCTGCCTGTCCCACTCCTCCTCCGCTCTCTCTGTCCGTCCATATGTCCCCTCCCTCTGTCCATCCGTCCCTCTCCGCTTCCTCTTTTTCTGTCTGTCCATTTGTCCCTTTCCCTCTCCTCTCTCTCCATCCGTTCGTCTCCTCATTCTATCTCTCATCACCTCTTCGTCCGTCCCTCTCTCCCTGTCTTCAACAATACGTCCTTTTTAGGTCAGATAGTTGCGCGCAATTCCCACCGAGGTTAGGATTCGAACCCAAAATTAAAACAAGAAAATTGGATGATAGGCGAAACAGAATCTTTTTAAATAAATCTCTCTACATTTGCTCTTGTATTTGTAGTTCTTCCAATGTCGACAATATTAGAAAATATGATATAAAAACTTTTTAAATAAGATTAATAACGAGTGATTGAATGACAAAATAGAAAAAAAAAACTTTGTGCTTCGAAAAAACTTCTTCAGACTAAAAGAAGACTAGAGGCGGGAACAAAATTTTAATCAGTGTATTTTGTTACCTTCCGCTACATATGTATCTGATTTTATCGATAAGAACAGTATTTTGTCTGAAGAAGTCCTTTCGAAAGACGAAACACGATATTTTCTTTTCAATACGGATGATTTTTCCATTTTTGTTATTTAGCTACTCAGTATTTTCACTTCTGTTAAGCATAGTAAAAAAACAAAAAAAAAAGAAAAAAAATGACAGGTTTGGCACAAAATAATATGCATACACTTTTTTGGGAACTGAAAAATAAGTAGATAGGTTCAGCTATCGTCAGGTTCACATTCCTACCCGGTCTTTTGAACAGGAGGAGAGATTTAAACCTTGACCACTGTTTAGGATTGGTTTATGATTCCCGATCTTTCACTCCCAGTTGACCCAGGGTGAACGAGTAAACTTCGAAAACAAATATTTTTTGTTGTGGTTGCGGATTCTGTTGAGAAGGAAAGCAAAATGGCGTTTGATAGTCAGGTTTGATTGAATTCCATTGCCACATAAATTCAATTCTGAGAACGAGAACGTAGAAAGAGAATGAAGTAGACCTGAATATGTCAGAATAAAAAGGAACGGATATATATATATATATATATATATATATATATATATATATATATATATATACGAATGTAATGAGAACGAAAATAATATAAATTCTAACGTTCACATCATTAATTTAAAAGAGGACACAATACCAAGAGTAGAGCAATAATTATTTATTATAATTTTTATATACGGACAAAACAACTTACTCACGGCATCTCGACTGGTGAGAACCATGCTTCTAACTAGTCAAGATGCATGCGCATCGAAACAAAAATGCATCTATGTGGTGAGTAAGTTGTTTTGTTCGTAAGTAATAATAATAATAATAATAACAACACATATATATATATATATATATATATATAATAGCTGGCCACTCGCATTCGAGGATACCTGTCAAAACAGGTCGGCTAGTCAATCCCTATTGCAGACACTCGCTCAGGCACATTTGAGTATGTTCAACACCCATAAAGCCCATCTGTTGTTTATACTGCAACTATGCTGGGAAGACCTTAGTTACAGTTTCTGGGAGAGAGCGTGTTATCTAACGTGATCAACAAGGCCAGGGACACTCAAACCCTCGGTTACGATGACTTGTGACTTCGAGCTAGCACAGGTATCGATGGTTCCTCTAATGTTCTATCTACCCAATTTCACTTACGTGGTATGGTTTTCAGGCATTTACAAAAGGTGTCACACGCTGGAATATATATATATATATATATATATATATATATATATATATATATATATATATATATATATATATATATGAGCAAGTTTTATTAAATTCCGCCGATAAGCTGTGTTTATTCAACTTTTATATTATATTTAATTATATTTTTTTAATGATTTCACCACACGAAAAAAGATAAATCCACTAAGACGCAAGAGGTTACTGGTGGTGAAAGAATCTGAGTAAAAAAAAACCTTAAGGAGAGAGGACAATAACAAGAATTAAAGAGAGAGAAGTTGACGCTTAACATTGTAATTAATTTTTTAAAGATCAGAGTTGACGCGAAAGCAAGAAATCAGAAGAGAGAGATAAGCCACAGGTTCTAGAATATAATTTATATTATATTTTGCTATATCTTTCCAGTTTGGAAATTGGGAAGATATAACAAAATTTGAACACTCAGTAATAAGAGGACAACGAAAATATATGTATTGTTGTAATCCGAAAAATGCTATTAGAAATGAGTTATTGTTTTTGGAGCGTGCAATCGCAACGCTGAGTTTGAATTTAAATTTTACAATTGTGCGTTCTTGTACAAATATGGTGATAAGTGAATTCTTTTTTACTAGTAAATTTTTTGTCAAAGTGGCATGAACTT